TTCAGCAGACTTTCAAAATAAATAATGGAAACTTATTTTCTCATCTGTTTTCTGACAGCGGGAATGCTGGAGCAGTGATGCAGACAGTACGCCACTGGGAGAAGCTGCAAGTTTTCTAAGCCTCCCTTTATGCCAGAAAATTACAGAAAGAGGTTATCTGCTGTTCTCATCAGAGAAAATTAATTTGCTTCTTCATCAAGGGATTTTTAACATGTGATAAAGCATTTCCTTCTACTGTCAGAATATTGTTGATGTTCTGTCTCAAGCTTACCTTCAGATTTCTGCCTAATCCTGCACCTTTCCTTTGCTACTCATCACTCCAGACGCTCTTTGTTACCACTTATTCATTCAAACCCAAACACTCAGCTGCTTCTCCTTCATATTAGTTCCTCACTTCATTAGCAATTGATCTTAAAACAAAACCTTTTCTATTTTCTCTGGCTTCCAAGCAGTACTCTTCATGCTCTGCTCCTCTCCGTCCATCCTATTTCTCCATGCCCTTCTGTATACAATAGCTACACAGTCCTCCACTCACCGACTCCTTCTGAGATTTTATCCACTCACTTTTCTTTACATTCCAGCTGTCATTTCAATCCACTGTATCTTATCCACTCTGAAAATGTCAGTCGTTTAGCTGGTTTGGTCACTGAGAATTTTCTAGATTACCTACACTAGTACAAAGCCACTTGCAGTTACAGGGCTATCAGCGTACACTACACAGACACCACCTTCCCCCCCCCCATAGAAGCTGCAGTTGCAGAGAGGCGTAGCTGCAACGGCTCTCGGGATGTTGAAATGTTTTCAGCTTCATCTCTAACATCAGGTATCAAAACTCATGTTGAGGTGAGGCTGGTGTTACTGTCACAGTGGATAATGGGTAAACAGGCCAAGCCAATAGGCTCAACAGAGAAAGTGGCTGAGCGTATGCTGGATGAACTGGTAAATGAAGCGCGAGGAGGCAGCCATGAGGATGCTGGTAAGAGTCTGAGTGCACCCTCCTCACAGGGCAACAGCCTGTGGAGCTACGGGGCTGACAGGACATAGCATCCCTCGTGCAGTGAATCAATACAGGAAAAAATACTGAAGTCTTAAGATCAGAGCAAGAACTGAAGATACAGTAACCAGAATGAAACAAAGCTCTCATTTTCAAACACACATTTATGATACTTTGGTAATTATCAAGTTGTTTGCTGTAGGTACAAAGTATTTCGATCTTTCCAGAGTATGTTGATAACTGGGCTGGAAACTAACCCTTCAATAAAAGAGACATTCACATTTAACCTACATATAACTAACATCAGAAACTATTTGGATAGTAATATTGAAGTTTTCATGGTACGAGAGTCTGTGACTCGCCCCCTCTGCTAAATACAAGCAGCAGGCTACATTCTGAGAACTGAAGACAATCCCAGCCTTCATCACCAACGTGAAATGATGAAGAACTGCTTCTGTAGAATGAGCTCTACATTACAATATTCTAATTGTAACGTAAATACATTCAACTTTAAAAGTCAAGAGCCTTAGGATTGGTAATTCAAATAGTGCAAAAGATATAAAAAAAAAATATTCTTGTGAAATCTTACATGTGTTCTTTATTCTCCTTGCCAGCTTTTAAGCCTGTTTCCTATTCAAAAACACATTTGTAACTCCGCAAGCAATACAAAGTAGTAAGATTAACTAATGGCTCTTTTAAAAACTAAATATGTGAATGTATTATGGACATTTAGGCTGTAATTTTCATGTCTTACTGCTAGCAGCCTTCCTACTGCTCTTAATATTACCACTTCTGCTTTAAAAAGATCAATGCCACAGCTCATTACAAGTCAAACAATTGAAAAACTCTTCTAAAAAGCATGAAAAACACAAGTGTTTAAGGTCATGAATAGACCCTCAGATCAACATATCACCACATTTAACTACTACTAGACTGGTCTTCCACTTTGAAGTGACCTCTGGATATCATCTGGCTCAACCCCCCTGCTCAAGCAGGGCCACCGAGAGACAGTTGTCCAGGCCATGTCCAGACAGCTTTTGAGTATCTCTAAGGATGGAGACTCCAAGACCTCTCTTGGCAATCTGTGCCAGTGCTCAGTCACCCTCACAGTCAAAAAGCATTTCCTGATGTTCAGATGGAGCCTCCCATATTTCAGTTTGTGCCCACTGCCCCTGGTCCTGTCACTGGGCACTGCTGAAAAGAGTCTGGCTTTATCTTCTTTACACCCTCCCTTCAGATATTTACATATGTAAGATCTCCCCCCCCCACCTTCTCTTCTCCCAGCTCTCTTAGCCTTTCCTCATATGAGAGAAGCTCCAGTCCTTTCATCTTTGTGGCCCTTTGCTGGACTCTCTCCAGAATGTCAGGGTGTTTCTGGTACTGGGGAGCCCACAAGAGGACACAGGACTCCAGGTATGGTCTCAACAGAGCAGAGGGGAAGGATCATCTCCTTCAACCTGCTGGCAATATTTTCTCTAACACAGCCCAGGATACCATTAGCCTTCTTTGTGGCAAGAGCACAGTGCTGGCTCATCTTCAACTTGGTGTCCACCAGGACCCTCAGGCTCTTTTCTGCCAAGCTGCTTTCCAACTGGGTGGCCCTCAGCATGTACTGGTGCATGGGGTTGTTCCTTCCCAGGTGCAGGACTTTGCACTTCTCCTTGTTGAAGTCCATGAGGTTCCTGTCAGCCCATTTCTCCAGCCCGTTGAGGTCCCTCTGGATGGCAGCATGACCCTCTGGTATGACAGCCACTCCTCCCAGTTTGGTATCATCAGCAAACTTGCTGAGGGTACACTCTGCCCCATCATCCAGGTCATTACTGAAGATGTTGAACAGGACTGGACCCAGCACTGATCTTGGGGTACACTGCTAGCCACGGGCCTCCAACTAGACTTTGCAATGCTGACCCTCTGGGCCCTGGAATTCAGCCTGTTTTCAGTCTATTTCACTGTCTGCTCATCCAGCCCATACATCAACAACTTTTCTATGAGGACCTCGCAGGCCGAAAGTCTGCGTTGAGATGAGCGGGTAATGATCATGCTTCTTGTAAAATTTTGTCTCAGGAGACATTCCTCCTGAAATTGACTCTTTTTGTTGAAAAATTCTGTATTACAATACTGTTTTATACCCACACGCTCCATTTGAAACATACCTTTCCTTTTCAGTTTTGCCTTACTATTAGAAATAAGGATGACAAGATTGTACATACAAGTTCTCTGCTACTAAATGATAAATGTTGCCAGCTGTCATGATGCATGCTCAGACATGAAAATTCTGAAGTAGGAACCACAGAAAAATCTGAAATCAGTTGCTGAAACCAACACAAATACTGTTTATTTGTGGGACGCCATTTTACATCAACACCAGCAAAAGACCTAAAAATCAACCAGATGAACTCATGTTAGGTGGCGTAACAGTATTTTCGTCAGGTTGAGTCACAGGAGTTTAGCACACCTTATTTAGGTAATATCTGAATAACTAAGACATAAAGCATTCACAGTTACAGGTTAACTGCTGTTCCTGCAACAGCAGTGTCAGTAGGTACTATTTTGTGACAACACATGTACACACACACACACAAACACACAGAGGGGTGGAAATTTGAAAAATGAAAAAAAAAATCAAGCCAAGTTTTGGTCTCAATTAGAGATAACAAACTATTTAGTTGGTGGATGGATTCTACACAGTTTTACAGCAATATGAAAGGACAAAATATAAGGCCTAGAAAGAGGTATTTTAGCAGTTATAATTAAAACCAGGGCACAAGCTAACCTTTAAAGCTGTCTATATGAATTCCAAGAGTATTAAATAATTTGTTAGACTTGTGACCAAGGGTCAACAGAAATCTGGAAAAAACGTAACACAGCTGAAGTCCATTTCTTGCCCTCCAAAAAAAGTAACTTGGGAACATGAACCAAGTAGCAATGAGCTGTAAGTAATTTTGATTGTGTGAGCGTATTTGTGATGAAATAAAATGCATGTATTTCTGGTATAATGGGAGAAGCCTCCAGTCCTCTACAAATGTTAGAAAAGGCTACACGAAGGCAACCTAAATATCTATTGTAGCTTAAAGACAACCTTAAACAGGTTTTAACTGAAAACTCAAGTACATAAAGATTCCAATAAATTCTATCCTCTTCAGCTTGCTTTCTTTGAAAAAGACAAAAAGTGAAAAAACAACAGTAATGTAGAATTCTATTAATATTTTAAACAATATTTTGCAGTAGTATGAAATCTAATTTGTGGAAACATTTTGGTTACTAATATTCATTTAATCATTTAGGTTGGAAAAGACCTTTAAGATCATCGAGTCCAAAGAGCTCCAAATGTTTGTCATCTATCAACTTAGAGTGTCCACTGCTATAGTCTTTGGATGCTGTTTTCCTTTCACTAACTGGCTTTCGACTTCACATCTCCAGAACACCAAGCATGAATTGCACATAGATCATCAAGCTTCTGCTGTAAGGACAGTAATAGTTCACCAGAAAGATTAGCACAAGACCCGTGACACTTCTGCGAGAATGACCTCTCAGTGTCTTGCCCAAGAAGTCAGCACATTCTGTACATTACTTTTCAAAAGGAAAATAAAAAAACCTAAACCTACACCACTGTATGGTGGCATAACAAACAAAAAAGCAAACACCAAATTTGTACTAAATAGAAGGTAAACTGACTAGGCTTAGTTAAGTTTCTACAATTACTTAAAAATGAGAAGTAATTTCTCCAAAACACAAGAGCTGGCAACGTTAGGATTCTCTGCTTACCAGCATATATAGCAAAATCAGAAGGATGGATAGCACAGGGAAGCTTATCAAGCCATACGGGTCCATTTTAGTCCATTTGTTCTCTATAAATGTCAGTAAAGCTGTCTTCTAGCTATAATTGAATTTGCGATTTATTTTATGAAGATGCATGTTTATAAACCAGCTGAAGACTACAGATTTATCCTGGTTGCAAGGGGAAGAAAAACATCTATCTGATTCATTTCCAAACACATTCTTCCTTTCCATCACTCCTGATTACTTTTACCCCCCCAAATAAATGAAGTTTGTTTACTTATACAGCTGAGTACTTTCTGAGGTTTCTTTTCTTCTGTGTTCTTTGCTTTAAATTAAATTTTGTATTCTGCTAAACATTAGCAAAACTTGGAAAAAGAGCACCTGGTTGAGCTGAACAGATTTCTGTTGACCCTGTTGTATAAGAGTTACACCTATAACAGTAATAGATTAAAAGTGTCTTTGGCTCTTGCTTCTGTTACTGGAAGCCAAACTATTTGTGACATAGAAAACCTTCTTTGCAAACCTTGTATTTGTTGCAGGATTCATGCCAATTTGTGCTAAACAGTTTTCTAGAGTCAGTTCCTAGCTTAACATTTAAGAACAATTACAGTACTTCACTTAAAATCTTAGCAACCACAATTTAGCCTAATGTTAAAAGTTATATTGCTTCCAAGTTCATTCTTTTAAGAACTAAACCAGCAGCTCCACTGGTATTTCCTTACGGTTATACTATGGCAATATATACATTTACATCAGAAGTCTTAATAAAACGTGTGTGTTTTAGTAAGAGGCTTATTGTAAACATTAAATACCACACTCCACTGCATTCATTTCTTGTGCAAACTGGCATCAAACATGGAATTAAGGTTATGTGTATTGGTGCATGAGAAAGCAATGACCATGTATGTTTTACCACTATTAACCTTGAAGAGCACTATTTAGTGTCGTGGAAATCCAAACATGACTATTTCACAGGGAAAGGTAGTATTTTCTTCTTAGCACAATGAACTTCTAGGTTTTGTATATGCATACATATTGTATATTTATGTATATACAAATATACACAAACACACACAAACAATTTTTGTCTTTGGCAGCTGAGCTTGACAAACAAAAATCATCAACAACAAACAGATTTGAACACAACGGGCCACCTGCAGTACCACAGTTAGAACCTTCTGGCCCAGGGCAGCAAACTAATGTGCTTTTGCTAAACTAGGCTTAATCCTGAAAGTAGTCAAGTTAATGACAGTAGTTTCTGACTTCAGTGATGGCACAACAGGACCTTCAATACAGCTGAAAAGTTCACATTCAACCTAAAACGCTTTCCCCCTCTTCCCCTGAATTGCATTCTAGAGAAATAGCAAAACTTCCAATACCTTGTCAAGTATTTCTACAGAAAAGTAACATCGTTCTTCATTCCAAAACATCCACTGGCCCTTTTTTGTTAAATGCTCCCCCAATCAATATGGAACATTTCAGTAAATCCTTAGGGATCAAAGTTTAATAGCACCGGATACTTCAAGGACCTATTTATAAAAATCAACACTAACATCACTCAATAAAAGAAGGGTAAGGCAAAAGACAACGTGACAAAATTACAGAACTTAAACATCATTCCATTCACTCATTTTCCCCAAATAATTGCTAGAACTGTCCTATACAGATAAAGAAATGAGTGAAATAGGCAGTGGTCCTTACTAAGAAGTGCTGTCATTTAATGCTGGTGTTTAACATGCCCATTGCCTGCAGTGGACACTCTGCTAGGAAGTTCCAATCCCCAGCATGAAAGAAAAAGTAATGTTTTGACTATTTGATATCATACTTTTAATTACTTAGAAACACAAAGTTAGAGACCCTGGGAAAGACTAACGTTACAAACAAACAAAAAAAAAACCCAAACCCAAATCTGTATTACCTATGTGCTAGGGGTAAGCAGACCTTATTCCCCAAACCACTCATTTTAGCTAGAATTTCGCTAGATCGCAACACAGACCAAACACTCGTAGTACACCAAAAATTAAAAGGAGTATGCCAAAGGCAATTTATGAAAGTCTAAAACCCATTTTTAAAAGGTACTTTAATTTGTTCATTTGTACCTGTAATGACTACTGCAGTTTTAACATTAAAAAGTCAGTACTTTTTTCTTCAAATGGAAATAATCTGTGGCATGTACAACTATTACAGTGTTTTAATATTTATATGTATATATATATTTTTTTAAGATACCAATGTTTCATTCCTATTAACCAATAGGTCAGGTTTGGCGAATTCCGGTGAAGAAAGTCACAGCATGTCTTCTTCCCTCAGAGATTGGCATCTCAAATAGTAACATTAAAATTGACAATAGTTCTTCACATAACTATGTCCAAGCAGTCTGTTAATTTCATTTTCTGAAATGCTACATTTGAGACCAAAAGAAAAACAAAATAACTAAAGTTTCAACAAACATGTGAGTGATGACTAGAAATATGCCACAAAATTATTTTTACAATACATTTCTGCAGAAATAATCCCTAGGTGAAGCTTTTTCTTTTTTTATACACATATACAAAATTTAGACAGCAATATACACATAATCACAGTGAAGACGCTGGCAAGTTCACCAATTTGTAGTGTAAATACAAAATGCAAAGCAGCCTTCAAAGAGAACAATGCTACACAGCAAGCATAGCTAGCTTGTTAAATAGCAAACATCAAAAGTTCCCTGCAAAAGGGATGCAGTGCAAGAAAAGCAGCATGCACTTTGATACAAATAGCAGTTTATGGCTAATGGTTGACATAACTGTGGTAACAGTGACTCTTGAGCGGCTGTGCATAGTTAAACTCCTATGTCATCTGTTTTCCTTTATACCATTCCACAAACTCATCCAACAACACTGGCCCTGTAGAGAGATCAAATAACTGTATTTTACAAAATTTTGTAAAAGGACGCTGAATGATTAAGCTCAGAGAAATAAATTATTTCAGAACATCAACATATGGTAGTACTTACAGGCTCCATCTTCATCATAGTTACTGAGGTCAAGGTTAATTGTTCTGCTGAATTCGAGAACGTTACACCATTGGTCCTTATTGATAACTTTGTATTTTGATTGCTGCTTAAGGCAAGAAACAGAAGTTACTAAAATGTATTTTCAACTCCCTCAAATTCAGGTTTTCTTACAGAAAATTTAAACCTTGATGAATTATTATTTTAATCTGTATGCCATCTAAAACTAAACAGGATTAAAGAAACCACTACCAACTAGTGTTGAATAATTCATGTTTCTGATTAACACATCTTTTAGTAGAAAAACATACAACAATACAAGGAAAGTACAAAAGCAAATCAAAGACATTCTGCACTTTGACCTGCATTAAATAAACCTTAACAGCATAAGGATTTGGGGAAAAGGAAGAAAGGAAAGATAATCAGTTACAAGTGCTGCTTTGGGGGTTCGTATACTCTAAATCAGAATCAAAAATTCTTAGCTGTCCATTCAACCTCTAGTTAAAGTATCAGAGAAGACAGATCAAAAAAACATAATTCTGTTTCAAACTTCATACCTCTAGAAACTGATGAAATACTGGGAAAAGGGACCATGTTTTTCCTAAAAGAAGGCCCAACATACACTTGGCAGTATTGATATCTAGGCTGCGCTGGTCCTTTTCCTGCATAAAAAGGAAAAGGTCGAAAGGGTGGGGGGGAAGAAAGCATGATTTCAGGACTTTTCACTTCCCCCACTGCCTGTACTACAGCTCACCCACACATAAAATACATTAACAAATAAATAATAAATATCAGTATCTAACAGTGGTTTTTACTGAAATACAACTTCCTAGGAAGATTTCCTCCCTCATAGCTAATGGCTTGCTATACAGAGATGCTGCTTTCTATAGACTTTCCTAAAAAAAGGTCACTGCTACTGCAGATGAGGGATACACTCCTGTTTGTGACTTCAGACTTTTCTAGAAAGCAATGGCTGCCATTAGACCCACACCCATGTTTGCACCTATGTCTCTGCGTAGCCATACATCTCTTAAAATAGTATTACTGCACCTATTTCCTGCGGTATTACTACAACTACATGAACTGTCAAGTAGATAACTAATTAAGTAGCTATCAAGTAACAGTGACTATGCAAGAGTGAGCCAAGGAGGTTCTTTGTTCTGTTATTCTACTGATTACATGAAATTCAGATTAAATTACCAAATGAGCAGTAGGAACACATTACACTAACACATGGAGACCCCTCTCAGAACTGTCCCAGTTTTAGTTTAACACAGCAGCAGTATATTAAGGCTTAGGGGGTGATTTTTTCATTTCTCCCAGGAAAAAGCAGCATCATCTGTACCCAGCAGATTCATTACATCTAATCAGTGGGAAGTTAATATATTTGATAGCACAACTTCTGCACATCTCAAAAGTAATGGGTGTACATGTAAGATTCCATTTTGTTATTTTAAGTAGTTTATCCATCTACATTTGTTGTCTTGAAATTAAACAAATTTTGGTGAGAGATGGGACGTACAACCCCACCCTTTTACACCTTGGTTATAGCATCAAGGTACAAACTCAGAAATTAATGAAATCACAAAAAATAAAGTTCCATATTAGCTACTGTAGACCTCATGATTGCAGACTGCAAAGTCTAAATTAAGAAAAAACAGGGATCTAGGGATATCCAGGATACAGGGAATGCCTAATAGAATACTGCAGGACAGCTATCCAAGACAAAGGGAATTGAGCCCTATGCCTCACCTGTACAAGTGCAGTTTTATGTATTACAGAATACACATCTTCATTAAAAAATACAAGCTCAAAACATAACTGAATTGTCTTCTATGCTGTAGGAAGTGTGTGGTAGAGTGAGACCCCATTTCTCAGACAATAACTGAATGCCTTAGCCACAAGGTTATCCTCTCTTCTTGAAACCCACTTCATACAAATACATCTCAATTCTAAAATTGTGTAGACAGAATTAAATGCAGATTTGTTTTGGAAGGAAAGTGAGGAGGCCAGCAACTCTGAAAACATCAGAGGCTGTTTTGCATTCTGGTCACTAAATCCAAGAAGGACTTCACTCAATCTGATCTAGAGGGAAAAAACAGTAAATTCCAGGATGAACAAAGCTTTTCAATTAGTAATAAATCTGAAAAACAAACCTGCAAAGGCCTGTATTAATATGATACAATTCTTTCACTTATTTCCAACATCAAATCGTTCTAAAAACAATTCCTCTTTCCAAAGCCCATTTACACCTCTGCCACAAACACCTTTAAGCAGAAATCATACTGCTGCGAGAATACGTTTTATTTTCCGTACTATTTATACTCTGAATTCTTCCTACACACTCAAGTGTTAATGAAGTCAGGCTCTGCTGCCTTTACTTGGGCCATGCTGTTTTTACATGCCTTACATTGTTAAGTTTCTACATTCTCCCTCTCCGACTACTGTTCAGAACAAATTGTTCAGATAAGCCCTTTATACCCACCTCCAACTGCCTAATGGCACATCTGCCATGACAGACGCTCCAATTTCATTCTTAGCATACATTCTAGATACTTACATTCTCTTTCTTGGATACAGTGCAAAGAACAGGTTGACAAACTCTGCTAAATTCCAGTATTTGTTTTACATTGATGATAGACAATCTTTATGAGGTTTTTTCCCCCCCCAATATTTCAGATAAACAACCTATTTAAGCCATGAAATATATGCGTCTGTATGTTCTCAAACTTCACAATGACAATGGCAAACAGGGAGCGAGGAATGTATTTGTGCTTAATACCAACATATGGTGTTTTAAATTATTTCCTCAAAACCATGCTGACTTAAATACTGCATCCCACATAAAACCTTGATGATACTTATTTTTATTGACAAACTAACTCTAAATACCAAATCACAACAGACACTTTCAAAAACTCTCTCTTAAAACTTCAAAAGTTTAGACAAGTGGGTTTTGCCACGAAGCACTTCCCTGAAATGATTAGCCTTAGGGTGGAAATTACACAATATTCTGAATCAAAACATGAAACTGTTCCCATCAGCTTTTTTCTATCAATCAATCACTTCAATTATTCTGATAAAAATTATGTACAGATTCATCTGCTGCATCTAGCTAAATATATCAGCCTTTGTCAGCATTCATTTCTATTTTTACTGGATGCCATTCTCCTATAGACTTCCCCTGGCTCCACAGTATTGAAAGTGCAATAATTCTATTAATCTAATATTATTTTGACAATTCCCCTGTTGATATGCCTCTGACTTGCAGTTCCACAATCTTTTTTGTTTTGTCACAAATGATGTCACAGCATCTGCGTCTCAATGTTTAAATTCTTTTTCAAGACGACTGTCACATCAGTTTGGTACCTCCTGAAGAAACTCCACCCGCTATCCTCTTTTTAAGTTTCTGCACTTACTTTTGACAGGGCGTCAGCTGGTGCAGATTTGCTACTAGCAAAACAGGTTTTCACCTACTCCAATTTCATCAGTATCTTGAACTTCTTTGGCAACTTTAGTTATTTCTAGCCTTTGCCTTTTACAAGGAGCAAAATCGGCAAATAAGTCTTCACACAGCAAAGGAGGAATTAAGATGTCGATACGGCTTTTCTTCTTCTCATAGTAACTTATACCATGTATTCTGTCATATTAAATTGTAGGTTTCCTTGGTTAAAAGTGGACTACCGTGAATCTCTGCATGCCAGCATGCAGAGAGCACTGGTGTACCAGAAATCCGCGTTAGTTATGAGAGACTTAACCATTAGAATTGCTATCAGTCTTGGTGCTTTTGGTTTTCCTGCACTGAAATCTAAACTTCAGTTTTCTCCGTGATTATTTTTATGGTTTTAAGTGCCTTCATGTTTTAAATATGTTTATGCTCACAAAATTCAAACAGCAAGAAGAAGAAACAGGGTAATTCTAAAGCCACTGGAAGTAAGTGGCAAAGCTCCAATATGCAACAGAACAGGGCTGAAATTATTTCCTTGAAGTCACAAAATAGCCTGAAGCAGAGAGGCAACAAAACATGTCAAAACACTAAGCTACTAAACATCAAGTATCCCATACACTTTACTTTTCCAGTTCTGGCTTTTTGCATGTACTTTTTTAGAACATGAACAATTCCATTTGTTAGAAGCAATCTTGAGTAGTATCTTAAGAGAAACATACTTAGAAGTATATAGTCCTTTAATTATTACTTAGGAAAGTAACATTTTAATTTCAGATGCTGGTCTTCCACAGTACTTACCCGTGCAAAGTCAAATGCATATCTATAAATAAGTTTAAAATTGGTAGGCTCATTTAATAAAGATCTCAAGTAATCCAGAGAATTTCTCAATTTTTCTGTAGTATCACATCTACAAGAAAAGCACAAAGTGAACTTAGAGTCTGCGTTCTTATTCAGATGTCTGGTGTTTTAGAAAAGAATCTCTTAACGCATCCCTGTCAATCTGTTCAAAATACATCACTCTGTACAAAGGCACGTTTATGAATTTGTCTGCATAAAATTCCTTGATTAAACCCACAGTGTGAAATGGATTTAGATAGAATAGCAAAGTCTTACACCGGTACTCTGATAAAAATTTTTTTGGCTTTGTAGAAAATGTACTCTCCAACAGATTCAACTAAGAGCTTGTCTACACATGGCAACCAACCAGCAAACCACAGCATACTTCTATAGTTTTGCTGATACTACAGAACTTCCTACACAGTTTTAGTGGTTCTATTCTGGAAGATAAGGCAAAACACAGTTCTTTCTCTAATTCTCTGTGAAACATGTCGTTATTCAACTATATTATGTCAATTATGCCATGAATATAAGCTCTCAGCTGGAGAAAGCAACTCTTAGAAAGAACATGACAATGCAGAATCACAGAAAGGGTTTGTATTATTTCGCATTTTAAATTACACATGCTTCAACAACATACCAATATCTAATTGATAGATCCAATCCAGTGACAAAGACAGGTGTCCTTGGGGACAGAAACAATGTCGAACCTCATGACATTTCTGTTTTCTGGGGACTGCAGACACTTTAATCCAACTGTATTTAAACATGCAGCTGTTAGGTTTCAAGTTGTCTCTAAGTGGCTATATTGCCATAAAAAAAAAAAAAATCTATGGCTTCCACTCCACAGTAGAGCTCTCTGCTTTAGGTGTTATAAGTCAAAACATCAAAGTGTGTCTCTTCTAAAAACCTGGGTTTACTATAATAAAGTTAAGAGGTTTTTCAAAGCACTTACTGTAGTGATGTCATTCCTTTTAACCATTCTTGTAATGTAAAGTAACCCATGTTTTGTGCATCCAACTTCCATGCTAGTACAAGCATAACTACCTGTTTAAAAAAGAAAAAAAAATGAAGACTGAAAAGAATTAACAAAAAGATCCATGCATCTTCCAAATAGCTACTCTTTAGTAGGCTACGAATGCTTTACTCATATATATGGGATGTTCAGATCTTTGCTACGCTATTTTAAAAGTTAAAAAACCTGAAAGTGATAAACCTGTCGATAATCCAAATGAAGAGAAGGTAACAGTGCCAAGACACAGAGTGAACATCCACCCAAGTTACCAGTAGGCACCTTACTTCAAAAGGGAGCATGCAGTCACCCAGTGAGCAGTGCAGTGAGGAAGATGAGTTGGTGCAAAAGCTACAAAAAAGGTTTCCCAAAACAACTACAAAATTTAAGTACCAATCTGACGACAAATTACATCTGACAATTCTTAAACTCTCATCTAGATGAATGTCAGTTGCAATCTGTGAACTCTATGAAATCCAATTATTCTAAAGTTAATAACGAACCCACCTGAATTCAGCTACCCTAGGGTACCATCAGCCTGCCTAATTCTGCAGGTCTGAACATGCAGTATAATTCAAGTAGATGGTAAGTAAAGCTAAGTGAAGTAACATTAACACACATCAAAACCGAGGCTGATACATAAATGCTTCAGTTTTGCCCAAAAGCAAACAGAGTCCTTTCCACAACTCACACAGAAGACTGAAGCGATACAGAATTTAGATGAAGTGATATCCTAAGATTACTATCTTATTCAGGAACTTAAGAAACCACTTTTGATATATACATGGAAAAACCTGCAGGACAACTGACCCTGCAGACTAGAAGAAAAAAAAAAAAAAAATAAAAAAAAAAATCAAGTAATTTAAATTTGCAACTCGGCTGTTAACTAGCTAATGTTAGTGCAGTTCTGTATGTTTTTTAATGTGCAATCAGAATACCTTCTTACATACCCAAATGTTTGCATAAATCTCAAGGTTTCATTATACTAATAAACTCCAAAATTAGCAAGTTACATCTTATATTTCCAGTAAATCTGTCAAAACCACATTTCTGATGTTACTTAGTCAGAGATGATGCTTTATGAATCCTGCAAAGATGGGACTTGTGTATACACTTAAAGAGCAAAAATTAGGCACTAGGAAAAAGCCTGTAAAAGGCACAACTATGCCTTTTTAAAATTTTATTTACTTCTCTACATACATTTATAAAACATACATATGTAATTTTTATATATGTTCCTTATGTGTGTTTCAAAATGGCATAACGGGAGTGCTAATATTGCTTACAATATTTGAAATACCTTTCTCTCCTAGAAAACTCAAAGAAAGCGTTACTTTGTAGTTGCTATTTTAACTCTCCAGTGCTGTCTCATTGTTTCAGAAAAGAACAATCAGCTGCTTTTTTTTTTTTTAAATCTCTTTTTTTGGCGGAAGTGGGTAGGGGTAGGAAAGTGAAAGAGAAGGGATGGCAGCAAAGACAAACTGAGTTTTTACAAGTTGACAGTTTGGAGTTTAAAATAAAGGCAACTGGTTTCCAAATGTGTACATAAACCCCCCTGGTTTATATTTTTTTTTTTTTTTAAAAAAAAAAAAACTCCCAAGAATTTTTTAATTCTTGATGGAAAAATAAGAGAGATAAAACTGGCTCATGTAGATCATAACAGGTAAGACGGCTTTTGAATGGACTTTGAACTTACGTTTTCTGGTTCAACTCCAATGTCTTCACAAAATTTCTCCATACCTTCTGGCCCTACAATGTCATCAGTGCCTGCAAACAAAATGCATTTTACTTATCTCTGAAAATTAAAACAGTCTGACCTTTACAGCACAAGAGAAATGCAATCATGCAGTACTACCTGAACTTCCATATAGTTTTTTTGTTTGTTTTGACATGCAATACATATTTCCACACTTACTGTCAGACTTGGACACACTTAAATCTTTAGGTCACCTTTGGAAACAGAGACAGAAAAACTCTAAAATAACTTTTCGTTCCTGACAATACCTTTTATTCTACCCATTTACTGATAATCTTGAAAGAGTAGTAAGATGTTTAAGAATGCACTAAGACTAGCAGAACATACACATAATATTACCACGGTTAAACGAGTGGACAATGGTTAGCGAAACTCATTTCTTGGCTTGAATCTCTACTGTTATCATACAAACACATCACATAAAAGTGTAATGCATAGTTATATAGGATATAAGACATTATCATTTCCAGAATTTCATTCCTTGTTGTCTCATATATTCTCTTTATAAGTTATCTACAAAAAAGAGCCTGAAATGAAAATCTCATGCTCACATTTATTCATATTGCTATACCATGGCCACACGTTATCTGAATTTTAGTAACTGCAGGGAGAAGGAAGACATGAATTAGAGCTATCTCTCTGCAGACTTAAAAGGAAAAAAAAAAAAGATTCAAAATATAGATGCTATTAAGATGCACTCCTATTAAAACATGCTGTTAAGATATTTGTAACTTCTACAATACTCTATTGAAAAAATTATATAGGCATTAAGAATTGGACTGTGCAATTCTATTTTCTTAAGTACATTTTAAGTATTTGGACTGTTTTGTTAGAATTATTTTACTCATGTTTAAAAGGACTCATTTGGGAAAAAAACATTAGAAGCTGAAATGCCTCCTTTCATCCAATATAAAGATCACGTGTGCAAGAAGAAGAGGTTTTATAAAGGGAAGATCAATCTATGCTTTATTATTAGATGACCTACTATTCTAGAAACAACAAGGTTTAATTATAACTTTTCCCATCTTGTCTTGACATCCTCTCACAGTTCTCTGAGTGTACACAACAGTCTTTAAAGAGACTCATTCTGTAATATAAAGACACACTAGGAAAAAAAACCAACAACAAACGCGGTGTCAACTGTCTGCATATATAAAGGAGAAGACTTATGAAGCAAGAACACAAAAGAGATTATTCTTTGAGAATTCATTTTTTAGAGTTTTACTCAATACTGTAAACAGAATCATACTCTCCGCTTTTCTCTGTTTTATCTTGGTGTATGCATCCAATGGAAACCCAAATGTTCTTTCATATACAGCCTTCCTTTCATCCCTTCTTTCCATGAAAGTCTTGACAAAAATGAGTTATCCCTGTTGCTAGAGTAAAAAAATAAATCAAGCTGGTCAGAAAGGCAGAGAATCTAACAGGGTAGATTTGGAATGATTTTGTCTGACTCTCCTCTCACAGACTGCCACAGACAAGTGAGATCTCAAAGTATTTAATTTAGTTTATATAATTTTATTAGAAAAAAAATGTTTTGGTACATCAAATTACATCACTCTTTATTATGCATAAGAAATAGACAAAACAGAACAAGCTGTGAGCAATGTTATCCAAGACAGCATTAGAAAACTGCAAGACGACCTTATTTTCTTTGTCAGTCACCTATTTCATTTCCTTTTGGTCTTTACAGTTATGAGATAATTTTTCCCCTTACTTCAAGTTGTCCTCTTCAGAAAACATGTAAAAAAATTAATACAATGACCAACTTCACTATCAAAGGATCATTTTTTGTGACCACAGATCATATTTAACAATCCCAGAAGTAATGCCTGAAGAAAGTTCTCGTACACAAGGGCAAGAACAAATAATTCAGTCCACCTTCCCTATACCTTGTGATGGAAAATATATACTTAACTTCTGGGTCTGTTTCTGCTGTGTGGGATCTTGCTGGTTTCACCTTTTGTTTGGTTGTTTGTTTTTTTTTTTTAATTAAAGACACACTTCTTCTGAAGCATAACTCTGTACTATTCAGCACTAACACAGCAGATAACAAAACTTCTAAAGCCAGAGAGGTAACAACATTGGACAGAAGTACAGCTTTAAGTATAGATTTGAACAGTAAAGTATACATGTTCCTAAATATTTTCAGTTACACACCTTCTGTATTCTTTTTATAGAATAGAGACAAAGACAAAATTGACCCTCGAACTCTTCAACTTCACACTACACAGAACACAAGAAAAGCTTCTTTAAGACTTTTACAAAATGCTTCCATATTCAGTCTTGGAAAAGCTCAGTTAATGCAATTTTTATGTTCCAATGTAGATTAAATTGTTATTAAGAGGAAATTTGCATTTCACCCTTACCTGCATATTCATAGAACCATTCTAAGCATCTCTTACTTGAAAAGACTTCTTCTTCTGCTTTTATTCTAGGCGAATCATATTTTCTATACATACTTGAAAGAAAGAGAAACAAGTAATTAATTCATCATTTTTTTAAAAGCAATCTTTTAGTCAACAGCCACTGTAAGCAGCAACATTTTTCCTTTCAAGAACCAGTTTACCCAACATTCTGTCCTCATATCCAGTCATTCGTGACACTGCTTAACAGACTAAGAATCACTGAACCTAAATACTGTGTTTGCTCAGTCTGTCACACTTCAACTGATTCATAATCATTATACATGTACATGAACAAACGAAGACTAGTTCAAATCCAACCCCAAACTGCTTTGTCTAAGTTCAGGTAAGACTTGCGCACACCCTTAGTTACCACGATCAACTGATGCACTGCAACTTGGCTGTGAGTCTAAACCCAGAGTAATCCCATGTCACAGCCCGCACAGGTCCTACCTATAGGTGCACACATACTTTGCGCACTTTGAATTATTAACTAAGGAGAACTGCTCACACTCTTTTTCCCTCCTCAGAAAATCCTATAAAAGGGATAAAGGCCAAAATAGACATGACCCACACTTACATTATTCTAAAGCCAGTAAGTTGATAGCACAGAAGAACCACAGAGAACAGGTTACAGGTCCTCACCAACAGTAACTCAAGGAACCTCATTAATCATGGGGTAAATAGTTATCTGAAAAGCTAGATCCATAGTGCTCCTTCCCCCCAGAGATGTCCAGCAAGGTAATGCTCTCCTTCAACAAGAAGCATAAGGAATTTTACATTTAGGAAAAGAACACTGAAGTACCAGTCTCCTGAATTTAGTATCTGAAACACCTAAAATATGGAAGGCATAGCAGAAGTTGATGAGTTTCTCCACCCTGTTTAGACTTTTTCTGAAACAGAGACAATATCATTTGTGCCTGTTAGAGAAACGAGACTCAGCAGTCCAAGTAGTTGCTCACTGCTGCATATGCATTCTCTGATCCATTTCCACCACCCTGCAGCAGTTTGGGCTCACAAAGGCTGAGAATTGCAGAGCAACAAATGGCTTAGACTAGAGGAGGTAGCCAAGAATGGCTCTGTAAGTGTTCCAAGCACACAGTCCTTTCTCTTACAGTGTCAAACCCTGCTGGGGGAGGACAACAAAGTGGCTAATTGGTTCAAGGAGAATTCTGAAACAACTTGATTAAATTAATTTGGAGTTGATTTCATCACCATTTTGTCCTTCTAGAAAGACATGTAAAAGATGTCTGTACTTATGAGCTTAGAGTAACACTGATCCAACTATCCTCCACCTAGCTCGGCTATCGGCTATAGGAACTGTGTTAGCTAGAAGTTAATGGCACACAGATCATTCTGACAGTAATTCAAAGAATCACTTCATGTTTATTGTCATAGTTCCTTTAAAGCAACTAACCATTAGAAAAGTAATACTAGTCAGAGCAAAATGATAAATTGCTAATCGGAAGACTAACACAAATAAGGCTCTTAAATTTCAAGATAAAAAGAAAAATTAACGCTGCACTGAAACACACTGATCTGCAACAAACTGAAATACTGCAGAAAAATGCCAGCCATGTGTGTCTCAGAAACACATATATTCATGTAGGGTTTTTTCATTTTGAAAACACTTTTTTCTATTTGAACTACCTACTTTGTATAAGCTTTACTGCAGTTGCAAATGAAGAGGCTAACAGCACTGCCCAGTAAGTAAACAACTAAGCCAGAAGGGATAAATCAGAGTTGGAGTATTATTTAAAAACAAAAAAAACAAAAAAACAAACAAAACAAAAACAAAAACAAAACCAAACAGGTCTGATAAGATAATATTCTCATACTTGCAGAATTAATTGTGATTATGAAAGACCTATCCAATATTTTTAGGCTGTTCTGAATTCAGAGGAATCAAAAAAATGCCTCAAGACAAAGAAAGAAGGCATTTTGCCACTTTGGCAAAAGTGTAATTATTCAGCAGTCCCTTTTTTGTAGCAAACAAACATGACAAACACGAATTGGAATACCAAGTTGAAAAGTGATGGTAGCAGGAGCTAGTCAACATCTTTATTCTACTCTATTCTATTTCCTCAAGAAGTCTGTAAGAGCACTGCTGGGACCTAGGGCATGCAAAGCTAACGTGGTTCCCAAAGACAGACATTCATCACAAGACTCGATGTTTTTTCTTACAAAGGGACGATGACCAAGTGCCTCGCCCTTCTTGTTCATGTAACTCATCAACACATTAGCTGTCAGTATGTGAACTGTGGATTGGGGAAGAAACCCTCAAGAAACAAATTTATTGACAGAGCTCTAAGTCATCCAGGTATTTCAGAAAAAGGATTTTTGCATCTACAAGTGGCAGAGCTAAATACTGTAGCCTGAACCCAGACACCAATGACATCAGTATGCATAAGAGGAATGGTCAATGAGAACAGAAAAAAACAGCCCTTTTCATACATTTACTGCATCTATGCACAGCAAGTTTTCATAGGACTGAAAGTCATTTGTTGTGCTTAAGGCTAAGGTCATTGTTTAGGAACTGCAGGAAACAATATTCATTAAGTCCATGTGCCCAATATATGGCCAAGTAACTCCAAGCAAAACACTCTGGCCTCAAACTTACTGTTCAAAAAGCTCAACATCTGACCACTGGAGTTTGATTTTTGAGGAGCCAGAGCTAATCTTCCAACCTGTGCTGGCAAGAGAAATTACGTCACGATTTCAGAAAATAAAATCAGGAAGGATATAATCTTGAGCCACCCCAGTCTCTGCTACAAGCTAATTAGCCAGACATTCATTAAAAGTGCAGGTGGCATCATATCACATTTATAAAGAAAACAGGCTATGCATAGCCAGAAGTATAAAAACATACAACAAAAATAGCTGGATGAATCTCAGATGCCTTTCTCTCAACCTAAAGGAACTAATAGCAGATCACGTATTTTGCAAGACAAGGATCACTTGAAAAGGAATATGTCAGAAACAAGTAACACCAATGCAGACCCGGTATTGGTGATCTCTCATTAATATGAACCCTGTTCTCTCCCTGCTTACTCCAAACACTGAATGAGTTTCTCCCCGCCATCTAGCCAGACCAGCTAGTTCAATTAGCAGAGACTCCTCATCCCTGAAGTGCTTGGTGAAGCAACATGAGCAGGGAGCTACAAGCAAGTTAAGTAGACAAGTATCTGAGATTACAACCTAGGACAACTCAGTTCATTTATCACAGCAAGCCTAACCTGGCTGCACAGGGTAAAGGTGATTCCAAAGTCTGTGTCCTCTGAACTACCATTAATACAGATTTGATTGTCTCAAGAACCTTATATGCAGGGGAGAAAAACACAAACCACCAGAGACGTCTGGCATCCATTATGTATCTCAGACTATTTCTCCTATCTTTGGAATTTCTCTGTACATACTGCAAGATGACGTGCCTTGTCTTTGTGCTAAGGACAGTGTCTCTTGCTACATAGACAAATACAAACCACCAGAGTGCACAGGGCAGATATCTGAATACCCTGGGAGCACCAAACATCTACTGAACAGGGCTGAGTTTCAAACAGCAAGTCCTCATCAGCTCACAGCTTCCTCAAGATGACCAGCACCAGTACCTTCAAACAGATGCACAACCATTATATGTTGACCATGTTACGGCTTGGTAATTTGCTTATGCATTGATGGGAGTAAACTTCCCCCCCCACCTTCAATAAAGGAAGGGCCAATGAATATACCTGGTACTTTTGGTACCTGAATTTGTATCACTGTCAGAAAATGCTGACACTGGAACAGGATTGCTAAAGGGTGTTTTCTCCATCATCAGAGCTAGAAAGGTGCATGCAGAACTTCTTCCCAGAGTGTCTGCTATACCTGTTGCTACGGGACAAGAGCAAACTCCAAGCCTTTGCGTTTAGAATTACCCTTCCATTTCTGAACCCTGACATGCTGCCCATCAGGAACAGCAAGGAAAAAACACCTACAGGCAAACAATATACATTTGTGTCTCAGATGAGACACACGTGCAGGTACAATGACAGAAAAATTTTCTCTTGAAAAAGTAATAGTTTTTATTAGTTTAGCATACCACCATCAGCACCAGGACAGTGACAGCAGACTTCAAAAAATGTTTCTTTTTATTATAACCAATATCCTCTTAAGGAGCATTTAGCTTTTTCTTTTTTATTATCTCTTTCTAAAAGCCATTTTACCAACTAGAGAGAGCAAAGAACATGGGACAGGGCAGGGAAAAAGCAACATGAGATTAACCTGCCTAAATTTTTTAAAAGTGATATCAACTACTTAACCACATTTAAATGAAGTTATTTTGTCAGAAAAGCTTGCATCTCCATCATGACCTAATAGCTGACTCATAACATCCATTTGTAAACCTATCTTTGAAAATATTCTTATGAGCTAGGGACTTATAATATCCCTGCAATAAAGATGAGACAATGTAGTTTGTAATTGTGCTATAGGTAGGTATCAACAAGCTAATTGAAAAAACAGA